TTACATCAAACTGTTCTCCAGCTTCAGAGAAACAAGACAGCAAACACAAGTCCAGAAACAGACCCAAGAGCTAAAGACGGTGAATGCCAGGGATGAGAGCTTTGGGGTCAGTTTTGGGTTCCAATCCTGAGGAACTTTGTAAGGTGAGCAAACAAGTTATTTCTAATGTTCCCTGATCTTCAACGTGTGAGAAACTAAGGGAGTCATAGCCGCTTCACCAACCCCTGAAGTGAGTTATTATCAGCAAACCCGCGATCGCCAGGCACAGGCCTTCCAGGACTCTGGTTTGGAAAGGTGCTCGTGCAGATGCATGGGACAGATGTGAACAGTGGGGGGAGTGGCCCACAAAACTCCCCTTTCAGCTGCCTGCAGGTCCTCCATAGCCCTCCGCCTGCACCATCAGGGATGGCAGAAATGAGCCACAGCCCCGGGTGCTGGCAGCCCTGCAGCCCAACAATGGCGAAGCCGACACGCTTGGCTGGAGAGTCAGCGGGTGCCCTTCTCAGTCTGAAATAGGAAAGGCATAAATAACTGTCATGTTAGATCCACTCCCATCACAGTTGAAACAATCCAATTCTCACTGGAGCAACCTAATTAGGGGGCTGATAAGCCTTGTATTATGGGCGAGTGAACGTTTGCTGTAATTCTTTCCAGGAGAAGGCATGGATGCCAGTGTAGCTTTTGGTAAGGGACAAAAATACCAGCGTCTTCAAGGAGTCGAGACCCCTCCCGCCTTCACAGGTGGAGCCACCAAACCCAACCCAGGTCCTACTTACTGTAACCTGGGAATGTCCTGTGGCTTGCCTGTCTACTCCAGATTTAGGAGCAGACCCAGGGTTCAGGATTCAGAAGCGGATCTGAGCGCTTGCTGACCACAGTGAAAGTGATATCAGCCCCTCGCCTTTGGGATTATACATTTCCTTTATTTACTAATGTGCATGGTAATTGAAACACCATGACTGACCATTCACCAGGACTCATCACTGTAGGGTCTGAGGAGTACTTAGCCCTCACTTGAGCACTGTTCTACATCTGCCTAACAAATCTTAAAAGCAAGAACCAACAAGAATAAATAGTTTCCAGCTAACTTAACTGAATCCCTCCCCCCTCCAAAATTTAAGAATATTTATATCCAGCACCTTAAAAGACTAATTTCATGCCGGACATGGTGGTTCATGCCTATAATACCCAGACTTTGGGAGGCTGAGGCGGGCAGATCTCTTGAGACTGGGAGCTCAAGACCAGCCTGGCCAACATGGTGAAACCCCGTCTCTACTAAAAATACAAAATTTAGCCAAGTGTGGTGGAGTGTGCCTGTAATGCTAGGGAGGAGGCTGAGGCACGAGAATTGCTTAAACACAGGAGGCGGAGGTTGTGGTGAGCCGAAGATCACACTACTGCACTCCTAGCCTGGGCAACAGAGGGAGACTCTGTTTGTTTGGAAAAAGAAAAAAAAAACAAACAAACAAACAAACAAAAACAGGAAAGAAAAAGACTAAATTGACAATTTCTTGCATCCAAAAATCACCAGGCACCCAAAGAAATGAAAAATGCAACATTGGGAGATAAATTCATTGAAACTAACTCAGAACTGATCCAGATGTCAGAACAGTAAAAAGTGATTATCACTGTATTGTGTATCTTCAAAAAGTTAAGTAGAGACATGCAAACTACACACACATACACACACATTCAAACCAAACTTCTAGAGATGAAAACTGCAGTGTGTGAGATTGAAGACACCCTGGGTGGGATTAATAGATTAGAGGCATTGCAGAGAAAAATTATTCACAACTGCCAGAGTTTGGAAGCAGTAAAGATGCCCCTCCATAGATGAGTGAATGAATAAACTGGTACAATTATAAATAAAATGAGAGTCCAAACAAGGGAATGTCATCCAAGATTAAAAAGAAATGAGCTATGAAGCCATGAAAGACAAGGGAGAAACTTAAATACATATTACTAAGTTAAAAACAAAAGTCAATTGGAAAAGGCTACATACGATCTACGTATCATATACTTTACAGCATTCTGGAAAAGGCAAAACGGTGGAGGCAGTGAAAATGTTTTTTAACTGCTGAGGGTTAGTGGGGACGGAAGGATGAATAGATAAAGCACTGGAGACCTGAGGGGCAATGAAAATCCTCTATATGATACTGTAATGGTGAGTGCATGTCCGTATGTATTTGTCAAAACCCATCTAACTGTGCTACATGAAGAGTGAGACCTAAATTGTGGGCCCTCAGTAATCCTGCTGTGTCAGTGTAGATTCATCAACGGTAACACGTGTGCCCCTCCAGAGGAGGCTGTTGGCCGTGGGGAGGCTGTGCGTGTGCGGGGACAGGGCATTTATGGCAAATCTCTGTCTTTTCAACTTGATTTTGCTGTGAACCTAAAACTGCTCTGAAAAAGTAAAGTCTTTTTTGAAAAGTCAACCTAGAATTCTGCAGTCAACAAAAGTATCTTTCAAAAATAAAGGTGAAGTACTTTTTCCAACACTCAAAAGCTAAAAGCACTCATTATAAGCAGACCTGCAGTGGAAAAAGTATTAAAGGAAGTCCTTTAAGAAAAAGGATGTAAAAAATAAATCTACACAAAGGTAAGAAGGACGAGCAGAAATGGTAACTGTGTAGGTAACTATTTTAAAATGTATTCTTATCGTTTAACTGTTTTTAAAGATAATTACTTAAACAAAAGCATGTAATGCAGGAGTCATAACATGTGTAAGCAAAACGAATGACAACCAGAGCATAAGGCTAGTAGTGGAGAAATTCAAATATACTGTTACAAGGTTTTATGCTATACATGATATGGCATATTATTTCAAAGTAGATTGTGATAAGTTAATGATACATACTATAAACCCTGAAGCAACCACTAATAATAAAAGAGTTATATATAAGAAGCCAGCAAAGGAGGGAGTCACCCACAATATCCACATATTATCTATAAAAGGTAGGAAAACATTAAAAATGGAAAAAGAGAAAAAAATACTGAAATTAAAAACAGACAGCAAGAGCATAGACTCAACCTAATAATATAATCACATTAAACATAAATGGTCTAAACACTCTCATTAAAAAACACAGATTGCCAGATCTATATAAAAATGACTCAAATATACACAGATGACAAGAAATATACTGTAAATATAGAGACAAAAAAATAAAGCAAAAGAAAGGAAACAAGCTATGCCCTTTACATTAATCTGAGACGTGGGTCTCACCACCTGCAGAAGTCTGGCCTGCAGACCCTGACTCAACGGCCAATGAATGGACACACTCTCACACCATTACAGTGTTTCAAGTGGGCTAGGATGGCCACTGGCTGCTTTCAGAGGGTGAAATGCAACCCATCAACCCAGACCCTCTGTCCTTCACACATTCATTCCCTCAAGATTTTACAATAGGAAGATGCATTATCCTAGGTGGCACACCATGCTAATCCCACACGTCTACGCAGTAAAGGGCACACTGACTACCTGGACCTGAGGAGCATGGTGTCCCAGTGGAGGCTGTGGCAGAGTGTCACTGTGCTCCCACTCGGGTCCTCTTCCTGTGCACAGAGGTGTTGGAAACAGATGCTCGGTGCCACAAAGAAAATTTAGCCCTGAGACAAAGGATCTTTCAGCAATGTAATTTTTACTCCCTGGACTGCAGGAAGGGTACCCTCGCTAGCCATCTTGCCACGAGAGTACAATGAACAAAGGAAAACACACAAATTTATTCCTTACGCATTTGGGGTTGTTCTTACTGCTGTGTCTCATTTCTGCTGAGATCAGACACAGCAGTTAGTGTGTCCGATCTGGAGGTCTGGAGCCAGACCTCACAATCTAAACTAAAACCTGGTTAGCTAACAAAACGTTTCTAAACAGGCAAAAGCAAAGGAGAGCTGGAACATGCCTGTGAGCACGTCCAGCACAGATATCTTGGTCAAAGTATAAGGACCCAGAATGTACTACATGCCTGGAAGCATGGCATGTTAACAGCTATAGAGGATAGGGTTTCACAAGGTTATTAGCACACTTATGATTTATTCTTTAACAAGAAAGAAAACTTTAAAAAGGAACTTTTCTAGTTCCCACAGATGAAAACCAGTCTTCCTCATAATTAGACTGTGGGTGATACACTGAGTTCTGGCCCAGGGAATGTAGGCAGAAATGATGTAAATCACTTCAATCCCTGATCTTCACAAGCATCCTGCACGATTCCACCACGCCCTCTTCCCTGATCTGCTGTTAGAAGCACGGGATGGAGGGAGGTGTTGTGGACTGAATGTGTGTGCCTCACAGAAGTCCCAGGTTGAAACTCTAACTCCCAGTGTGTCTATATTTGAAGACGAGGCCTCCGAGAAGTAACTAAGACTTTATGAGGTCGTGAGAGCAGGGCCTCAATCTTATGGATCCTCGTAAGAAGAGACCACAGGGAGACAGCAGCAAAGTTCCCCCTTTCCCCACCATGGGAGGAGGCACAGAGAAGGAGGCACCTGCCAGTCAGGAAGAGGACCCTCCCCAGGAGCCGTGCTGGCGGGCACCTTGATCCCGGACTTTCCAGCCCCCAGAACTGTGAGAAAACGCATTTTTGTTCTTGAAGCCGCCCAGCCTACGCTATCTTGCTGGGGCAGCCAGGTCTGATCACTGTGGAAAGTGTTAATGGTGAGTCAGAGGGCAGTGGCTGTGGGGTACCAACTGGGAATTGACTTTAGCCCCCATCCGACAGAACTGCACTGAGCTGCAGAGTGAGGGGAAATCAGCCTGTTTCGGTCAAGCTCCAGAGAGGTGGGGGCTGCTGTTTTGGCAGTGAGAGGCATTTCCCCTGACTGATGGAGACACTGGAACTTAGGCTGGGTGTTTTCATTAAATAAGGAGGGAGGTGAGATGGGCTTCAAGGTCAGGCAGCTGTCTGGGAGGAACCTGATGTATGAGTCCATTTTCACACTGCTGATAAAGAGGTACCAGAGACCAGGTAATCTATAAAGACAAAGAGTCTTAATGAACTCACAGTTCCACGGGGCTAAGGAAGCTGCACAGTCCTGGTGGAAGGTGGAAGGCATGCCTTACACGGCGGCAGGCAGCTGAGACAGCCAGAGTCAAGTGAAAGCACCATCACCGCTGTGACGGGGGCTCCGTGCACGCTTGCTCATTAGGACGGAGGCATACAGTCCAACTCATCAGCTTTCCACTGGACCGAGATAGAAATGATGGGCTGGGTCCACCTTCTGTTGTCACTTGAGCAGGTGTAATCTGAAACGGTAAATAGAAAGTGAAAGGGGAAATCCCTTAAAAAGTCATCAGATCTCCGAGATGTATTTGCTACCATGAGAATAGTACGGAGGAACCTGCCCGTGATTCGATCATCTCCCACCAGGTCCCTCCCACAACACACGGGAATTACGGGAGCCACAGTTCAAGATGAGATTTGGGTGGGGACTCAGCCAAACCCTATCACCTGATTACCAGAAACGAAAAATATGCTAATGTGAACCAGGCAGAGGACACACATCTTGGAACTTCAGCCTCCTCTCTGCGTTCACTCAGTCCACGCACCCACTGAGTCTGTGTTTCCGGAGAAGGAGGTGAGAAAATCATGTGAATGGTGAGTCCTGGTAATTTGGCAGTACATGACAAGAGGTTGCAAGAAGCAGGTGAACCTCAGGAAGGCGATCAGCGACGAGAGAGGTCCCTGAAATTCTGGGATGGCAGAGTGGGAAAGCTGGACTGCCTGCCTCTTCAGGTGGAATCTTCAAAATCTGAACTACAAATATCAAGCCAAAGTTGGTGTTTTTCCCTGGATGTAATTAAGTCAGTCAGGGAGAGAGGAGCGTAACTGGCATCCAGAAACAAATATATGAGTGAGATAAAATCTCCATGAGATTCACCGTGGAGCTGAGATGGCTGGATTCTGGGAGGCCCAGGAACTGCCTGGAGGAGGGCCAGGGAGTCTCCATGCTCACAGCAGGCGAATCTCCTCATTCCTCAGCAGAGAAAGAAAACTGTTACTGTGCTAAGCCTCTGGGATTTGGGGATTGTTTGTTAAAGCAACGAGCAAGTGTTACTCTGGAAAAGACAGAAGCAGAGGAGGGTGAGAGGCAGACATGGGGGCCAGGAGTAGATGCAGGACCCACAAGACGGAGCGGGGGATCAGGCTTGGGTGGCTGAGAAAGAGGCTCCCTGGTGAAGAAATGAGGTGAGCACTAACATCCAGGGACTACGTGCTGCGTGCCAGGAACTGCATCCCTGCCGACAGCGGAGCAAGGCCCTGGGGATAGACGCGGAGCCGGCTGTGACGGGGGCTCAGTGCAGGCTTGCTCCTTAGGACTGAGGCATATAGCCCAGCTCATCAGCTTTCCACAGGACCAAGATAGAAACGATGGGCTGGGTCCACCTTCTGTCGTCACTGAGCAGGTGTAATCTGAAACAGTTAATAGAATTCTCAATAGGATAGATTTATTTTAGTATAGATTTATGGAAACATCGAGACGATGGCACGGAATGTTCCTGTCCTCCCTGCCGTGAGCCAGATGAGTCCCGCGGCTGTGGGCAGCGAAGAAGGTGGACAGTGCGGGGCTGTGTTTACCAGAAGCTAGAGAGCAGTTGCAGGGAATAGCACACTTAGAGTCAGGAGGAGAAGACAGGAGGTACCAAGGAGGCTAGCAGGGAGGGACTCTTCCATTAGAGCCCGCAGCGAGAAGTCAGAAAGCTGGAGACGCTCGGGCATATGAAATGAAGAGCCAAGGAGAAACTTGCCTAGCGTTCGGGTTTGTAAACACAGGCGGAAGGAACCAGCATCACAAGAGGAAGCGGGTGCAGAGGCCTTTGGGGCCAGGTTAAAAGGGGAGAGAAGGGACGTACTGAGGGCGGTTTTCCATGTAGAATTCATTCATCTTGTTCTTTTGTTCACTCGGTGTTGAAGGGAAACTCAGCTCTGTTTCAAGGCACACGCCAGGGTGACCATCTTCCTTTCGCTCAACAAATATGGGGGGCTTTGCATATCAGAATGAAGTATCCTGGTCTTGGTTTAATTGATAATGGATCAAATTAAGGTTTCCAGGTAAAGGAGTGATAAAGCAAAATAAATCTCCTGGAAAGCAAGCTCCCGGCAACAAGGAACAATCAACAAGGAACACCTCCTTTCCCATGGTGTCTGTGCACCTGCCCGGCCCAGCCATTAGTGAGGGTTTAATAAGGGCTTGACCGACCTGTAGATTATCCAAGCCTTGGTGCGGGAGGGCAGGTGCAGGTTGGGAGTGTGGGAAGCGTGGATCAGGCACACAAAGCCCCTCAGGACGTTGTGGGGTAACCCAGGAGTGCATGAGGATGCAGGAGGCGGGCCCCACAGATGAATGTCTCAGCCCTGACCGCTTCTGTCCACGGCTCTCCTGCAAGAGACGTTTCAAGGATGTGTTTCCCAGAGGCCCTGAGGGGTGGAGGATGGATAACAGGAAGAGGAGGAAGCCAAGGAAGGGTGTGAGTTCAGGAGAAATTTCACAGAATGCAAGTTCAGCTGGAGCCTTCAAGGGATTTCTGGACTATGCCTCAGAGATGTCCTAACCCAACAGAGGACCGGGAGTTCCTACCCCAGCCCAGCCAAGGGCACCCGGGAGAGGGGCAGGACGCCAACTCCCAGATGTCTCCAGCCCTTTGTGTGGGCAGACGATGCAGGGCCAGGGGCCAGGGCGGTCCTCCAGAGAAGGGCGAGGGTCCGCCGCAGCAGGGGGAGGAAAGGGGGCCATGCTGGAACAGAAAGGGGTTGGATGGGATCCAGGCAGAACCTGACAGTGTCGGCAACCATGTGCCTGAGCGGAGCTGACGGAGCGTGAAGGAGAGGTGTGGAAGGCAGAGCCAGGCTCTGAGCCTGGAGGCTGGGGGATGATATTGATGGGCAGATGAGGCTGGAGAAAGAGGACATTCAGGGCAAGATAACAAGCCCAACTTGGGAGAAAACCACCCACCTCTGTCCTACAAATCAGGCATAAAGGAGGTATTTTTGGAATGCCTACTGGCTCCTAGCACCCAGAAAAGCACTTCCGAAGCGGAGTCTTGCTCTGTTGCCTAGGATGGAGTGAGGTGGTGTGATCTCGGCTCACTGCAACCTTCACCTCCCAGGTTCAAGCGATTCTCCTGCCTCAGCCTCCTGAGTAGCTTGGGACTACAGGTACCTGCCACCACGCCCAGCTATTTATTTATTTTTTTGTATTTTTGGTAGACATGGCTTCACCATGTTGGCCAGGCTGATCTCGAACTCCTGATCTCAGGTGATCCGCTTGCCTCAGCCTCCCAAAGTGCTGGTATTACGGGCGAGAGCCACCATGCCTGGCCAGGAAACGTGATTTATATCACTACCCCATTTACTGTTCATGTCAACCTTGCTGGGGTGGATGAGAAAACGGGGCTTGAGCTTACACGCTTTACTCAAGTTCAGAAAAGGTAGCAAATGCTGAGGCTGAGATTCTAACCCAGGCCCAGGAATTCTGAAGCAGGAGCTCTTAAACACTATGCGGTATGCATATTTATAGCTTGTAAAATCAGTCGGCCCATCTGGCTTCCCCTTTCTGGGCCCATGGTCTTCTGTGGCTTCCTCTCCGGAGCACGCTTCCTCTTGGCATGGAAGGAGGCTTGGCCTTGACCAGAATTGGGGCCTGATGGACCCCTTTTGTGAAAAAGCCCAGTGGTGCACTCGCCCCGGCACGTGGCACCCACCGTGCCTTTACTAGGTTATGATCTGTTTTACTGTGACTGATTCCATGGCCAAGTGTCCAAAGCCAGAAAGGTTTCTGAGTCATAGTTCTGGAATGTAAAACCACAGAATGGCTGGAATGTAATAATCAGAGCCCACAGCTAGCGGTCCTCTCCTTCTCAGAAGGAGGGGTCTCCACCTGGGCTCTGTCCTGGGGCACTCAAAAACTCCTCACACAGCCTCTTTCTCCAATCGCATCCTGACTTTGTGTTGCTTTTATTCTGCGGGTTTTTTTTTTCACCCAAAAAAAAGTGAGCGTCCCCTTTTCAGACAGAATTTCAATAGAGGGACAGAGAGGAGGTATTGGAGGAAGCCGGGCAATTCTCTTCTCTGTGATCCACCTCCCTGTTTAGCACAAATAATTTTAGCTTGCTGCAAAAACTTGGTCTTCTAACTCAATAAAGAACCTGTTTTCCATATATAAAGTATTTTTATTTTCAGGCTTCAGGCAAAAAAGCTTTCTCTTGGCTATTTGGTATTTTTCCCACATTTCTGCTTCCACAGGGCCAGCATCAGCCGAAGTCGGCCTCAGCATGGCAGCATCCCACAGAGGTGGGCACGGCCACACACTGCACACGCACTGCACTGTCAGAACACACATGCCTGGTCCCAGAGTGCCACAGGGCCCCCAGGACTTCCCATCATCGGCCAGGCAGGCTCCCCTCACCGCCTCCAGGCTGCCTTGGTGGGGTCACTCCCGGCTGTGGGCCTGGCCTCTGACTCCCGGTGCCACGCTCCACACCCCCGGGCTCTCTGACTGCAGGCAACAGGGTGTGGCCTCATAGCATCAGCAGAAGGCATCCCAGGCAGCTCAGACAGAAGGGCGGTCCCAAGAGCCAGGTGCGGGGAGAGGCAGTGGCCAGGCCACTCAGGGGTTGGGAATCAGAAAGTGCCTGATGAAGGGCCTCAGCAGCCCCCACACAGGGAGCAAAGAGTGACAGCCACCACTTCACATGGCCACACGTCTGCACCCAGGAAGAAAAGACCTGAGGTGGCAACTACGTTTGCAGAGGATGAAGCATGACGACACATAGTCCAGAGAAGGCAGCGTCTGGGGAAAGAGGAACGGTTACTGGGAGGAGGGGTCACAGGCCGTGTGGCCATAGAGCCACAGCTGTCACCACAGGGTCAGGCTAGGACCGTCTGCTGTGGCTGTGCCCGCGTGTGAGCCTGTGCCCCGTGGTGGATCAACCCTGCTGCCCAAGTGTGCCAGCCTCTCTCTCTGCTTGCCTTTCCTAGCCCATGTACACACACACATGCATGCGCACACACACACACAGGCACGCACACAGAGGCATGCATATGCACACACTCACACATGCACACCTGCATTCATGTGTGCTCACACACACACGCACACACACCTGCACACATGCATGCACACACATGCACACTCATGCTCACCTGTACACATACGTGCTCACATACATGCACACGTGCACATGGACACATGTACGCTCACATGCGCATGCACGCACACACGTGCGCACATACACATGCACACACG